TAGTAAAAATACCAGTGGTTTAAACATCATCTTTATTTGTAGCTTCTTTTTAAAATAACTTTTGATACATATATCCAGATCCTTTCTATGTGTTCAGATGTTTCAAATGGAGTATTTCAAGAATTTTGGTAGAAGAGGTCTTATCTCCAATAAAAGCAATCTGGATTGCTGAAAACATAAATCTCTTAAATCATTTTGATGTAAATTCTTACATTAAGCCTCCCTTTTTCAGCATGATTAGTTAAGACTATGGTTGAATCTGCATTTGCATTTTTAAATTAGTTTCATGCTGCTGTGACGTTGTCTTTCTCTATGCTTGTTTGGATGCTGTTTGGAGAAGATTCTTTTAAAGCAGTGCAGAGGTGCAATGACAGTGGAGCCGCCCCAAAGGACGATAAACATATGTGGACGTGCAAAAGTATACTAGCACTCTTGAGGTGTGAAAACGACACCAAATGTAGACAGCTTTTTTGAAGACGGAGTCAAAAGGCTGGGACACCGGTGGGAAGGACAAATGCAGATTCAGCCCATATTGCAAAGAGACACACTAAAATGGATCCTGTGATTTCTGCTGCAGTCTCGTCCTCTTATTTCTTTCCTTTTGTAGCAAGAAGGCAATATAATTTTGAGTTCACAGGATCCAGTCCCTTTCCAATTTCCTCATTTTGTGCAACCTAATTTATGCCACATAGTGTAGCCATACAAATCAACATAGCTCCCTTAAATTGTGGCCAAAATACTGCAGATGCAAGTTACATGGGGTGTAATAGCATGACATCCATCAGCATTTTGAACAACCTAATGACACAATCAGCTGTGCTGAATGGATTCCTCTGCAGGTTTCTTTGTTAGAGTACTGCCATTAAATAACTTGATTTTATAACATGTTCAAGGTAAAGATGTGCAGCTAGCACGTGAAATGAGAGAAGTGCTTTGCTGCATCTAATGAGATACACTAACAAAGAGCTGAGTTCACTTGTAAAGTATCTAAATCAAGCTGGTGTGGCCAACTGTTCAGAAAAAAGGGGCTGCACAGTTCAGATGTGGCTTCCAGTGGGTTGTTTTAGGAATGATACCATTCTGGAACTGAAATAACAAAATGTAGTGTATCTCATCCCCCTAGAGTACCTCCAGTGACCACTTACAAAATTGTAGCAGATTAGTTTCACATTTTAAATCAGTCCAGTATAATAAAATAGTTATATTTTTCAGTTAAAAATCAGTAGAACCACACGTTAACCTTACGTGCAGTTAGAAGAGCAAACAGAGAGAGGCCGTATCATATATAAAGCAAGGAAAGCATCTGTGCCTCTTCACCCCTTCACTATAGGTCAGTGGTCAAATCAGTGTTTCTTTCATAGATACATAATTTGTATTTTTTGATAATGATAATTACCAATGAACAGCATAACTTATACATTTAGAAATGAAGGATTTATTTCTGCACTAGAAGAAAGTTCTACATATTCTACATTATGTTTATATGGCATGTTCAATGTTACATTTAGAAAATCCTTTGTACTGCATAGTACAGCTTCTTAATTCTGAACGCAATTCCTGAAAGTACTATTGATTTAAATTAGACCAGGACGATTTGTGAGCCGTCCAGCCAAATGTAGCCTACCAGCCATATATTATTGCCTACTAGTGGCTCAGCAAAACTTCTTTTTGCTGCCTGACTGATATTACAAAAAATAGAGGGCCATTGAGTTTGATTTAGTGGGCTGCAAGTTGCACAGATCTCAGTTTAATGATACTTACTTCTTCCTAACAAGACAGAAGCAGCAGGACACATCTACATCGCAGCTTCCTATACTCTCAACTAAATGCTGTCAACCAAAGCTCAGATTTCAACAAGTGTCCAATGAGAATGTATTTCTGTACTTGGGGATACTTAATACATAACATTTTTCTTCTATATAGATAATCAGTATATAGAGAACAGTAAGTTGGATTCACAGGTTTGGTTCTGCTCACAGAATGAGTCCTTTACAGAACTGAATGGAGATCTTCTGGTAACCAAACAGCACTTTCCATGAGCAGAATGATTCCTTCCATTGCAGATAGTACACTTAACCTGCTTGTTTAGATACAACCCAACATATAAACACCATCAAAGTATGACACACTGTTCATCTGACATTTGCCACAACTACAAAATGTGTAACTTCAAAATAGGTCCATAGAAAGTTTCAAGAAAAACCACAAAGCCTTAATCCTTAAAAATCTTTCCTTAAAAGCTGCCATATAAATCAGATCTTTTGATTAGTTTTGAGGGCCCACATTCAAGTTTTTTAATGAGAAATAATGTTTAAAAGTTTCACACAATGAGAAAAAATGTTTAAAAGTCTCATCTACTTTCCAAAGCTATGCATGGTTGCCCCATATACAGGCAAGTATCAAACAATGACCCCAGTCACACTGGGGGAAAAGGTGTGGCTGAAGTGCGGCTTTTTTGAGCTGCATCAAAAGAGAACCGCAGCGGTGGGATCAAACAGATCCCCCGAGCCGCCGCACAGTTGCTCCCCGGCATGATCAGATGCCGGGGGGAAGGCACAGATCGGTGAGCGAGGCAGCCTGCTGTGCATGTGCGCGCCTGCACAGTTTGGCTGGGGTCCTCGCATGCTGCCGGAGATGGGTGTGCTGGCGATCACACGGCCACCCCTGCTGCGGATTTTCAGGTAAGTAGTAGTGTTTTGTAGGGGGGGGGGTTGATCCGCATTTTCGGCCAGAAGAGACGGATTGGGGATGGGTGCGCACCACTTCTCAGATGTTGCGGTGTGATCACGCCTGCTTGATGCGCCCCTGATCCGTCCCTCTCATGGATCAAAGCCTCCCGTGTGACCGGGGCCAATGCCTCATTGTCTACCTTCACTACTGACTCACAGTACTACCTCCATTCAACAGGAAGTCACTTCTGACCAACTGTTGCTGGACCTTTAACACAGCTAACAGAACCTCTGACACACCATCATATCTAGCCCTTCACTCAAATCTGCAACTAAGCCCATACCATATCAGTCACTATGCTAGTCCTACAGACTTCGTTCTTATGAATGACAAGTGCAAAGGGACTTGCAGATGTGGATTGTCCCCACTACCCCATTACAACAACAGCTCCAAAAAGCTGATGCTAGGAGCTGGGGGAGTTGCATAAACAAAATACCAAGGGCATGTGAGACTACCCTGAGGAAGGGAAATTGACTTCAGATTTTTCCCCATCCTCATCTTCAGCCC